TAGCAATAAACAAGTTAACAAATGCCACATTATTCAATTACTTCCACTACAAGTGTTTATATGAATCACAAAAATAGATACAAATTACAAAATCAATTAAAGTAGAACTGTGATCCATTTTTCAGCCATTAATTCAATATGTCTCCACTGAGTCCAAACCTAACCACAAAACCCTCTAGGCTAAACCTATTTTTTTTTTATGCCACTTAATGTATCGCCACCATTTTTTCCAAATTTCGCGGCGGCCTGCCACAGAAAAACTAAAATATGTGAATATTTTTTAGGGAAATCTCGGATAACACGCACAATGCTTGAGGGCGACTTATTAGCAAGGCAAAACGTGTATCGTCTTTTGTGGGGATTGCAAAGCCGTGCTCGAACAAGACACTTCATTAAGGGTGCGATTGTAGCTGGGGTTACAGAGTAATGTGGGGTACCATCTTTGAGAGCGAGAAAGACGTACCAGTAAACTTACATTACTTTACGTAGAGTTGATATAAAGTACAATCAAACCTGTGTACAGCGACCGCCCAAGGGAAACACAAAAAGTGGTCTTTGTATTAGACAGCTAGCTAGGTTCCTTTAGTACATGCCCGGCCCCCCCACTCAGAGGTTGGAATGACCGCATGCGTGTTGCCAAAATGTCCGGTAAAGGGGTACTTTTCGTGCGACAAAGTCCGGCCCGAGAATTTAAAAAAAAGGGGTGTATTTGACTTTTCACCCGGAGATTTCTTTAAGAAGGGGGTGTTTTTCTTTTTTTCTCTCATATCTTTGGACTCCTGAGAAATTATTCCGAATTTAGGGGGGTACATTGAGCATTTTTCCTGATTTAGGGGGGTCTCCAAGGCAGGAAAAGCCCGCGAAAAGCCCGCGAAAGGGGGGTTCCGAAATGTTGGCAGTCCTCAGATAGGGGGTGCTTTCAAAAAGAGGGTACGAGCATATGCGTACCCTAAATAACACTGAGTGGGGGGGCCGGGAGTACATGTTTCAATGAGAAACCATTTTCAAGGGAAACAACAAATGTGGTCCTCGTAGACAGGTGGTCTCTGTAGACAGGTGGTCACTAAAGCAGGTTTGACTGTACTACTTAGTGAATACAAGCAATGCTCCCATTGAAGTATGTGTAAGCCTTAGCATACCAATGTATTGCGAACAAAGTACAGGGCACCTTTATGGAATGGTCAATATACTTGCATTGGGATATAGGGCTTTTTTATACAGGTGAACAATGTGTGTAGCTCAATGTCTTCTCTTTTAAATGGTGTGCTCAGAGGCAGAAAGGCATTCGTTTGCATTAATTGATACAGAGTTAACACCCTTTTGGCTGTCAACAGGTAGTGTATGCATCAAAGTCCTTTTCACAAGTTGTATGTTCAGAATAGTGAATTCATACTATTGGTGTACCTTGTAATGTCAAAACTTGAGCATGAACTATTATACATGCTTTGAGTTAATGCCCTTTTAGCTTTCAAAAGATGACAGATTTCTCTTTAGATTGTAAAATGATCTGTTTGGAACAAGAAGGCATCAACTCATCATTTTACACATGCAAGATTTGCAACATTCATGTTCCAAACACACTTGACAAAACTTCACCTCTATTGTGCAATCTGTACCAGAACCATGAGAGATGGCTGTTAGTAGCAGAAGGACTTTGTTCATGAACTTATACAACCCTCTTGTTCTGAAACCAACCCAAGTTCTATATCGAAGGCTCAAGTTCATACACACCAACTGGAAATGATACCATGGGGCCAGGCATCATCTCCAAAATTGATAGAAATAGAGAAAAAATGAATATTATTTTCTTATCTAATGATAAGAAAGAAGGAAGAAAGGAGGAAAAACACAACAAACAATATTGCTTCTCGTTCTTGGAGAGAAAATGAATTTCTGCGTTTCTCCGGCCGCGGTTCTCTATGGTTGTCCCCCTCGACAAAGTCATCGCAATAATATCTTGGCCGCTCGAGCCTCATTGTGTTTAATTAGATTATTCCCCGGTCTTGTCAAGAAAAAAGAGAGTATTTTAATTAGAGAAGACCAACATTGATTCTTTATGAATCAATAATTTGTTTGCCTGCAGGGCAAGGCATACATGTATATGAGGTGCAAAGCTATATAGTGCAACATGATGTAATTTCGCAATATGTTTTTTTGGTGAGGATAATGGCATGCCATTGTGGATGACTGTAGGATGAAGTAATTTACACAGATGGTATTTGGGGCAGAAGTTCTCATAAGCTGGTTGAGGTATAGGGGTGGAGGGAGAGAGAGAAAGAGAGAGAGAGAGAGAGAGAGAGAGAGAGAGAGAGAGAGAGTGAGAGTGAAAGGGCAAGAGAGAGGGGAAAGAGGAGCATTGGTCGTAGTAATCAACAAAGTAAGAGAACAGGAAAGAGAGAGAGAGAGAGAGAGGGGGGGGGGGGAGGAGAGGAGAGGGAATGAGTAGTAATACAAAAGTAGTTCAGGGGAGAGTGGACTTCGAGAAAGATATAGATTAATAAATGGATACATAAATAGAGGGACAGAGAGAGAGAGAAGCTGAATGATAGAAAAAGAAAATACTTGTAACAAATGACTACTAGCACAAATTGCCTAATGCAAACAAAACTTATCTAGAAGCTAATTCTATCAAATGACATTTTAGGCAACTTTGCTGTCAAAGTTTACCTTCTGTCAATTTTCTTCTCCTAATCCTTTTAAAGACCACTGTCTTGTATAAGAATGTGATGGACATACAGCTACAAAAAGTCCTTATGGCTTAGTGTCGTTAAATACATGTTTTGCAAATGGAAACCAATGGACCTACTTGTGAATAGGAGAGCGCCCTGTCTTGTGACAATGGGGGTAAAATTGCCCCTCTCTCTAATCTATTGTTGGTCCATCTGGTACCAACATGGACCCCCAGTGTTAGATCCCCTGTCCCTCTAACACGAGAGAGAGAGAGAGAGGGGATAGGATTTAGGAGATTAGAAAGGGATTAAGGGTATTAAGAAACAAAGTTTGACAATATTCATAATGGCTAACTCCTTGTCAGTTTTAGCACTTAAAAGCATAATTTAAATTCCCTCTTTCAAGTTTCACCACAAGTTTCACCTTGCTGATGAACTCTTAATAGTTTACATTTTGTGTAGTTTTGAATATCTTCAGTAAAATGATGTTTCTCTTGAAAATGACAACAATTGAAATTGCAAAAAGAGGGTCATGTAAAATGTAGGCCTACATATTAAGGTACATTACAGTTCTGTTTCAACCAAAACATCTGTGAGAATGACCCAATTTTGCATTCCCACAGAGAGAGAGAGAGAGAGAGAGAGAGAGAGAGAGAGAGAGAGAGAGAGACAGAAAAAGGGGGGGGGGGGATTCATAAAGAAATTAAACAGTTGGATATATATATATTCATAAAGAAAGAATGAAATAGATCTTAAACATTGAATTATATTCATAGAGAAGAGAAAAGAAGAAAGACATCTGGGGCAACTCTATAAATTATTCTGATTATCTTTTCAGTGGAACCTAAAACATATATATCCTATTTTCCCAGGGTCAAATAATATATTCAAGTACCTCCCAAAGTATATATTTCTCTCACCCTCAAAGTATATCTGGCCTTCAGCATTATAGTTATACTCATTGTAGTATCACAGGTTTTTGTATTCTGTTTTTGGACTCAGTGTCTAGGCCGGTTGTAAATCATCTGGTGGATTCCCATGGTCTTTTGTTTCCAAGCCCAGACTACAAGCAAATCTTGCTTTGGAGAGAGAGGGAAAGAGAGAGGGAGGGGAGGGAGGGAAAGATGTCGGGAGAGGGAGAGGAAGAGAGAGAGAGAGAGAGAGAGAGAGAGAGAGAGAGAGAGATAGAGAGTGCGTGGGGAGGGAGAGAGAGAGAGAGGGGAGAGATAGAAAAATAGGGAATCTGCAAACAAGATCAGGTTTGATTACAAACATTTCATTTTTTGGTTACATAGAGAGAGAGAGGAAGAGAGAGAGAGAAAGAGAGAGAGAGAAAGAGAGAGGGTGAAAGAGGAAGAGAGAGAGAGAAGGAGAGAGAGAGAGAGAGAGAGGGGAAGAAAAAAGTGAATCTGCAAACAGATCAAGTTTGAATACAAACATTTCATTCATTTATTGGCTACATTGTGAATGAAAGCAAGCCCCGGTCAATGGGGACGAGAAATCAGAATGAAGGATGTAAGCAAACAAAGAACGTAAAGAAAAGAGAAGAAGAATCAAAAGATGGTGGGAAAAATTGTAAATCACAGATTTGTTGCTCCTGCTTTTTCCCATGCTCTCATTTCTATTCTGTCTTTTTTCTTCTCTTTTAAGGTTATTATCCAGTGTCTGTTTACAGAAGTTTTGTTCTACCCTCTTTTGTTCTCTTATCCTAACTTTGATCTGGTTTTATACCGCTGTTTGCTTTTTTATTTCACCCATCGTGTGACTGTGAAGTGTCCCCCTTTCACAGCTTTCCGTGTTTACAAAGATGTTCCTAAACAAATACAACCTATAAGGATGAATAGTTTCATATAATATAGTATTTGTATGTGGGTGCTGAGGGGTTTTGTATTGCAGATAGTGTTTCTGAATAAAATCTGTTTCATGATGAATAACTTCTAAGTAATTTGTATTGGGCTGCTAAAGTTCTTTGTAGCTACAAAGAGGTTCTCATTTATATTCATGGGAATTTTTAAAAGTTTTTTTGTTGATCTATTATCCGTAAATTGACAATTTAGAACAACATATTATGTATTTTCATTTTCTCTCTCTCCCCCCTCTCTCTCTCTCTCTCTCTCTCTCCCCCTCTCTCTCTCTCTCTCTCTCTCCCTCTCTCTCTCTCTCTCTCTCTCTCTCTCTCTCTCTCTCCATTTTCCAGATGTTTATACAATACATTTCCAGAGATAAATTATTGACTGCTCTTGCATTTTTTCACCTAATATTTAGTTTTTACCTTTTTTTAATTGAATGCTAATGATTTGTATCACTCTCTTTTGTATCTTTGCCATGCAGCCTGCAAGAAGAAGGAGGACGATGCCAAGAGCCCCTCGCAGAACAGCCACATCAAGAAACCGCGCCTGGTCTTCACCGACCTCCAGCGTCGAACCCTCCATGCCATCTTCAAAGAGAACAAGCGTCCTTCGAAGGAGATGCAGATCACCATTGCACAGCAGTTGGGTCTTGAGCTCAGCACCGTCAGTAACTTCTTCATGAACGCCAGGAGGCGGAGCCAAGACAAATGGCAGGACGAGATGGGCGGGGTCGGTGGTAATGTGGGCGGGGCACCCGGAGGAGGCGGACAACATCCCAACCAGGGCTCTCTAACACCAAAGTCAGAGTACAAGGCGTAGGAGTCACGGTGATGATGACGTGGATGGGGCACTTGAGAGAGATGGGCGGGGCTGTGGTATCCATGCGTTCCTCTCTACCAAAGATCATTATCGCCTGCGCTGGTCCGAAGAGCATGTGTGTGAGCTATTACTCTTTTCCAAGCCTAAGTTGAGTCGGGATCGACCTCGCCAGTAGACCTGAACCAAAACAGCATCAGCTTCAAAGAACCCCAGGTCTACATCAGCAAATCATAGGCCTGTATACCGGTACATTAAGCTGCTCTGGTCGACTCCTATCTCCTGCAAACCACTTCAAGGAGCATCTAATGCCGAACCTCCAAGGGGGTGATGCGATCTGCTGTTACCAGCGACGATGTTGCACCATCGTTTGGTCATCTGGATGGACATTCAAAGGCTGGAGAATGATTTATTTATTTCCATTGGAATCTATCAAACTACTTTCTACAGGGTTGGACTAATTTATTTCTATAGTGTGCTGTGTGCAAAAAGGGTTTCTTTTCCGTCTTGAGGCTATAAGTGCAGTGTGCAAAATGGGCGGGGCTATCTCTGTATTTCTTTGCTTGCCTGCATACATTATTACTTGGACATAATGACAAATATATCACCCATGCATACTGAATATCAGCATTTCTTGAAGAAAATTATTTCACATCTTTCGCCTGACAGCACATTTTTATTCTTGCTCATCAAAATTGAAATCAAATTTAACATTTTACTGGCTGAAAGTTGTTCTGAAATTGAAACATTGGGCTGAAATTGTAGGATGCAAATTGCAATATGTTTTGCACAATGGTGAAAAAAAGCTATAAAACAAAAATGCTTACACATTATTTATTTAACAGAATGAACAGAAAAGTGTTGTTAACATTTTGCTGGGGTTATGGTCTACAAGTAGAGATTAAAGCTCTCTGGTCGTTAGAGGGCGACATTTCACTTGTACTCTCTACTGTAAAGGCACAGTGAGATAATTTAGAATGTGTGCTCTTCAAAAGTGGAGATGTATTTTCTGCAATAAAATTTGGATGTTTTCTAAGTTTTTCATGTCTACCTCTACATGTTGAGAAAAAAAAAGAAGATAATGAGATGTAAATGTATTCAGATTAGAAATAGAAATAGATTATGAATATTCATTATCTATTTGCATAAAGAGATTATAGTGTATGTTAGTGGTATGCATTTTGGCTATCAATGGTGAATTGTGTTTAAATTATTTCACACACACCATGTCCAACTGTCCATTATTTGAACTAAAAGTATTCTTTTGTTTAAACTCTGCTCAATTTCCTTAAATTAGCTTAAAAACTAGTTGCAATTCATAAAATATTTACAAAAATATTCATTATAATTTTTATTATGAATGCTTTGCAATAAATGTTTTATTATGAAGGGATATATATTTGCATTTGTAGGCTGAAATATTTCATAAAATGTTTATTCATGATGATTTTTTCCACTTTGGTCGAAACACACATTCCCAAATAGATGATGATTCTACTAATATCATTCTAAACTTTTCATTATTCTGAATTTTGACTGATATTTGTGTTAAAAACCCTTTGCAAGGGAGCTTAGCATTCTATGACAGTATGTGTACCACTGTATGGAAAGAGGCTGGGAGATCTGTTATAGAATTTGTTAGAAATTACCAAGAAGATATTTTGAAGTATTTCTAATTACCATATTTCTTTCACATTCCATAAGTATTGAAATCTCTATTATATGTATATCTGCTTCGTGAGAAAAGGATGATTTTTGAAATATTATTTATTCACTGTATTATTATGTTCTTACATTTTGTGTGCTGTGCAAAAGTAGAGACTTTGTAAATCTCGACACGGGGGCAATTATTTGATGGAAAAAGTATTCTTCATGTACACTGTAGTATGAGTAGACTTTTTTTTTACCATTCCACAATCTTTTGTTCATACACATTTTGCAGTGCAGTTTAATAGTTTGTAGATGAAATAGTTAGCCAATGACTTGTGTCTCTAGTTATTTAATTTCATTATTTTGTTTCCATTTCATACTATTTGCCAGTGTGAAAGAATTAGTCTTTATTTCAGACCTTGTTGCTGCATTATATGGTTGTTTGAAAGCATGACAAAGAACCCTTTTTTTAAAAGCCATCATTTTGACCAAACCTCACAAATCTGACTTGCATTCTAAAACATTCATAATATTTTTATTTGTGTAATTTCATCAGACCTGTCCCTTAGAAAATACATTTCTTTTAACCTTTGAGAATTTGAGATAATTCTAAACATTTTCACAATTAACATCAAAGTTACCCAAAGCTAGAACAGCTGATAAATTGGCTTAATGTGCTTTAAAAGAAAATGGATTTGGTACCATTTTCAAATTGGCCATTTTAAAACTTTCCTTTCTTAGAGAAAAAAAAATGTAGTAAATACTGAATAAGCATAATTCTTGCCTCTTTGATCTCTAAAGCTGTTAAAGCCATTATATCGGCTGTTTGGAGCCAGAAGCCTATGCATACATTGATAGTGCGTTGACCCCATCTGGTTCCAAGCAACCAATAGACGGAGATCCAGCTTCGCCAGTCATATTGCAGCAGGCATTTTCATTTTGGAGTGATTGTTTAAACCATATTTTCTCAATTCCATGTCCTATTAAGTAATCAAATTGAATCATAATATTTATATGAACATTTTGTTGAATATTCATAACAAATGGAGCTTCAATGCTCTGTTTTTGTTAAGTAGTGAATTTGCATGTGCCATTTACATTAAGATCAACCACTATGGTAACATCTGCCATTTTATGTTGATGAGTTTTAGCTATTTATAAATCAATAGAAATGGTTAATCTATTTTGCTAATTGCCAACAGAAAAGCTTTAGCAACACATAGTTAACTTTTCATTTTGATTTTGTCTTTCAATGTCCTATCATATTCTTGTCCTTTAAAACATTTTGATTAGCATTTTTTTTTTGGAAGGGGGGGGGGGGACGATTTATTTGATTTACCTCTGCTGTTAAAATAAAATGTGAAATTCGATTTGTGAAATGTCAAACCTATAAATTGCCATATGAGAAAAGCAGGGTCATTTTTGTAAAGCAGATATTTGTTATAAATTGTTGGTCTGATTTTGACAAAAAGGCTGTATCCATTTCTCTTTTTAAGTGTAGATAATATCCCCAAATTATGTGATTTGTATATATTGTACCAGAGTTGGAAATTACCTTTTATTGTGAGTGACAATTTTCTTTTTTTTAAACAACCAAAATACCTGTGTGCGTGTGAGTTTTTGTGCAATATAAATTTTGTGTATATACACAATATCATGCTAGTGCTTTCTTATGGTATACCATTCATTTTTTCTTTCATTTTTTGTTGCAATTGCGCATTCCATTACTGTGCATTCAGCTTTTTATCATCATTTCATTTTATTTATTTATTGTTTTTTCTTTTTTGAAATGACATTTTATGTTGTGGTGACAATCTTAGTATCGAGTAAATTATTTTTACAAAGTTGTTTAATAATGAGTCATTAGACCCAGTAAGGCGCGAGTCGTATCATTTTGTCTAAGTTTCATGATCTTAGTGTACTTATTGAATGTTTAAAGTCATAGCGTTGACCTTAATTATTGTAATTCTTGACATAAATCTGATATTAGAGGGGGGGGGGGGGGGGGGGGGGGGCGAGGTGTATGATTTGTCTAGTTCACATATTTGGTATCAGCTACAAAGTTTGAATGACACGCAAGGTCACGTCCTTTGACCTTCTACTTGGGACAAGGTCACTTAATTTGACCTTTACTTAAGACAAGGTCACATTTACACTCTTTTCTATTGGTTGTGCCTTTAATTCTCGTTGGGTATAATTATATACATCTTTGTTCTTTGGAGAATTATGCAATTTTCTTTTCCGCTCACCATACCCCTTTGCTGTTCAACCCTATTATCTGTCGCGATCTAGTTGGAAGAAGAAAAAAAAGGAAAATATAGGTGAAATTTAGTCCATTGATGTTTTTAGTCTATGTGCACTGTACATGCTTCACAGTATGGACTTAATTATGTGGCATAAACTTAAAAAGCGTTAGAATTTTGTCTGTATTTTTAATAGCAATGACAGTAAACAGATTTATCCTTTCACTTTTGCATTGTATTAGCACATGCCTGCATGCGCTCCATTTGGGTACCTAAAAATATGACTCTGCTTGCAAGCAGGAAGACTGTATTGAGTTTTGCATAGAGATTAATGTCTTTATGCTACTTAATCTTCAATTTTCTGTTCTGGTTAATGTTATTTTTGGTCAACTATCCCTGTAGGCCTACACTGGCCATTGTGGTATTGTTTTTTTTCTGTTTTTTCTGCCGTTTTTCTCAAGTTTTGATCTGTAAATTTTTTTGACATTTTTTTGAAGATGTTAATATATGAATGATGTATAAAATACAATGTTTGGAGAGAAATAAAAAAAGTTCAAAAAAAGTTTGCTCTCAGGAAAAAAAAAAAATCTTTGGATATTTGTTTTGTTTATAAAGTTTTGTATGGTGTGAAAGAGGGGGGATTGCAAGACAATACAACACGCAGAAGAGAAAGACACTAAAGAGATTGAGAGAGAGAAAGAGAGGGGGGGGGGGGGGGGGGGGACTAGTCTGCAAGCACAGACCATAATTTGACACTTTATCAATCATTGTGCCTTGAGAGAAGCCTAGCTCAGCTACCTACTGGTTGTATCAAGGAGCAGCTACAGTACATGGCCTGTGGTAGTCTTATAGTGCAGACTCACTTTAACGACTGACCAGGGTTTGTGCTTGCAGACTAGGAATGGACAGAGACAGAGAGAAACAGACAGATATACTGAAAGAGAGAGGGAGGATCCACAATAAGAAAAGCATAGAGTTTGAGAGGGGGAGAGAAAGAAAGAAAGAAAAAATTGAAACAATGTGAAAAAGAAAAAAAAGGAACATGAATGCCGTAGAAGAGAGAGAGAGAGAGAGAATAATCAATTAACAAATCAAAAGAACAAAAAAGAACAAAAAAGAATCGAAAGGAAATTGAAAAACACAGATAATCACATTTTTTGTCAATGATATTATCAAGGATATCAATGAGTATGTTAAATTACACTTCTGTGTCTGTGTACATTCTAAAAATAAATCCCTTCATTTTAACATCTTTTCACCACCCCCCCCCCCCTCTTAAAGTCTAGTTTATTTTCTCTCCTGCATAATCTCAATCTCTATTTCTTCCAGTCTGTCTCTATTTAATTTGTTTAATATCTGACAGTGTCTATTATGCCATGTCCCCACTCTCTCTCCCTGTCGTTATAAATCTCTCTTTACTTCTTTCCCTCTGTATCTTTATATATATTCATAAATATCTCTCCCTCTCGTTATTCATCTTTCTTTACTTCGTTCCCTCCTTATGTTTATATTTATATATCTTCATCTCTCCTTATCCCTCCTCTCTCTTCTCCAGCAAAACATGATTCTTAAATATTGCTCTCTTAGGCCCAAAACAAATTCTCAAATACCTTCACATGTTTATAACAACTAGTGCTCTTCTGTTTCCAAGTAGGTAATCACTGTACATATACATAATGAAATCAACAGAAAAGAATTATACATCTTTGTAAATTTTTATTATTTCTCTCTTTTGTCTTCTCCACAATGAAAGAAAAACAAAAAGACACAAAACAAAAACAAAACATACCATGAAACACTGAAAACATAGACGTACATGCACCAACATATCGAACCACGACAAGCACAAAACACGATGAAGACTCCTTATGTGCAATGCACATATCAAAATAAACTTTCTTGAAAAAAATTATATGATCCAACCAAGACAATTAGTTAATTTGCAGACACTTTCTTACCAATATTTGGTAATCTCTATGGCATATTGCCAAGAAAAATAATACCTCCGCTGAGCGCCAAAAGGGTGTTATCTTGTATCTTTTAAAACGTAGAAAACGTCCTTTCTGCGCTCAACGGAGGCAACATGACATTGCTTCGACCACAACATAATTTGGCATCGAACCGACAACATATAAGGCAATTCTTGGGTAGCATTGTCAGTACTGCGATATCGTAACCTTGTTTCCCCTCTCAAAAATATAAGGCAAACCACCCCTAAACATAAAATGGACTCAACCAGGTTACATGCATTTGCCATGAGGCAGATTATTCAAATAGCAAAGCTGGGGGGAATAAAGTAATAGAAATATATCAAAGACCAAATTATTTCATTATGGATAAGCTAATGCTATCATTTTGCAATGGATATCACTAAAGAAATGGCTAAGTGTTACTCTGTTAATGTGACAAGCTTCCTTTTTTGTTATTATGCTGTTTTTTCTTTTCCTTTGTGACACGTAGAGTATATCTTTTTGCTGATAAAATGGGCAAAATGCTATAAATTAATGTTATCCGATACCATCAGTTTATTTGATATCTAAGAAACCATTAGTGTTCAAGAGCTTTTCTTGCTTCCTATTTATGCTGGTTTGCAATTATTCCCATGGAACATGAAACACAAAATCAAATTAACCCTACATCCAACCTGAGGTAATGCCAAATTTGATATATTGAAAATATTGAAGAAAAAAAAAAGTGTTTCTTTCAGTATATCAAAATAAATGAGCAAATATTATGCAACTAATTCTCATAATTCCTAGAGTTTCTGAGAATATTGATCAAGCTTTGATACTGAACTACCCTTGCTGTTGCTTCAACACATCAAGACTTTGTAACTATTTTGGGACATTCTTTACATCTTTGACTTTGAAAAGAACCAATGTTTTAATGACAACACATACAATTTATTAGAATATTAGGCATTAATTCACATTTTCTTCTCTTACATCATAAAAATGAGCTGTATTTCTTTCTATATCTTTTACTGTCACATGATTCTAAATTCCATATTTTTAAAACATTTGATGGAATGTGCACTTACATAAAAACATTATTTTCTTCAATTCTATATTGATATTGGACTCCCAATTTCATTTGGGAACCATCGATCTATCAAGGTACAGTCATACCTGCTTTAGCGACCACCTGTCTACAGAGACCACCTTTAGCACTTAGAGACTTTGGTGGTAAGCGCTTTATAAGCACTGTTTTTATCATTATTATTCTGTTTTCCTTGAAATTGGATTCTTATTGAAACCTGTACTAAAGGAACCTGTATAGAAAGACCACCTGCCTATAAAGACCGAGAGGTTGATTGAAACATTTATGATTTCTGCTATCCAAGAACACTCTCTCAGTGCTATTCCTTAATGTTCCCGTCTCAGCTCCGTTCTTGGTTTCCCTCTTGGCCTCTTGGCTTCTACTTTTCCTTGCAATAAATCTTTCAAGGAGATTTTTGAACCAAGTGCATATTAAAGTATGCTTGATCTAAAACATTTGTTGCATAGGTTTTAACCTGTTCACAGAGCAATAACTTTTCAAATGGTGGAGCTGCACTGTACCATCCATGTACAATTACATGTAATTGCTGGGATCCTATAGAAACAGTGATTGATGAAGATTAATTGAAACTCTTATTCACAAACAGGCCAGATGTACAACTAACAACTAAATTATTCATATCCCTACCAAGTTTTGGAATTTGTAAAGATGTTCATGTGTGGGTATATAGTTGTTTGTGAAGTAGGCAACTTGGCGACCACTACACGACACTGAGCCAATAGGTATTACGCTCCCGTGCGTACGTCCGTGTGCTGCCCTCTGTATACCCACGCAAGAGCAACTTCAAAGTAGGTGAACAATTTATTTGTCCCGATTGTTTGTTTCTTGAGAATGTGACATAATAAAGCTTACATTTAAAAGTATTCAACATAGGCTGTAATTCAACCAGTCAACCTTTCATTCTTGAATTATGAAAAAAATATTAACGAGTGTGAATAATTCAGTCGTTAACTGTCTGTATGGCAGGTTGGCAAGATCATTTCTTTCCAGTACATAGCAGATGTATATACTATGAATGCATTCACACAAAGGTTCGTTCAGACATGAAAGCGTAAATTCATTTTTGGAAAACGTGTAAATAAATGGCAATTGCTCGCAGCAAATGTCCTACGCTTAATCACTGAGTTCTGTAGTATAACATAAAGATAATGTAAAGCATTTTACTCTTCCATCATAACAAAAATAATTAGAAAAAAAACGTTATCTTAATGAGCCTTAAAACGTACTCACAAAGTACGGATCTGAGGGATTGGAAAGTTGTACTGTGTTTTTGGCACATTATGTTTATAGTAAATAATAATAAGAAAATAAAATAAATAACAATGATGACATAAGCAAAGCACATATTCAATTTCATACTTCATTAAGTGAACACAAAATATTGCAATTCGATTATTTCATAAACGTATGCCATATACTAAGTTGCTTGGTTTAACATTGATAGGTATCTTAGGACTTCTTACAAAAATAAAATTTGTGCACCATTTTCACAAATGCCACGTTGACCGGTGAAAAAAAATAATCATTAATTAAATGCAAGCTATACATGTATGTACTTGTGTGTACGTGTATGCCAGTGAAATTGGTATTGATGAAACCTTGCAGTTGTGACAAATCTTTAATGCACTTAACTACGGAATGGAAAAAGTTTGGTATCTAAATAACAACCTTGTTGATATTCAGAGAATTCCGTTGCATGTGTCTATATACGTGAGTGTGGACAATACTATACAATAATCTGCATGTTCATTATGGCATGAGTAGACTACTTTGAATACTACAATGTATTCACACACAAATTCTGGTACAGGATACCTATACTAAGGTAACATCCTTGAAAGTTTTTAAGTGCTGCCTGACTTAGCAGAGTGACATCTCTCTCTGCACAATCCAATCATCGGCTTCAATGATCCTTCCTGAACTGAAAATGCTCTAAATTGGCAACGTTATTGCTTGCGTCTTTGACCTTTGATCACAAAATGCTTCGAACTGCTTCTTCTACATCACTGTCCATACTGGTCAGCTCACTCTCAAGCCCAGCGACCGCACTGTTCTCTTCTAAGAAACTGGTATTGGCATAGTCTTCTAAATTGAAAACCGCCGAGTCATCGGCGCTATCAAAAACATCATCCTGATCGAAGCTGATATCGGCAAGGCTGGCATGGCGCAAGGTATCACCAGGACCACCGAGGTTCTGTAGAAAAAGAATACTGTTGACGGCGCTGTCCATCTGCTCCTGAAGAACGTCCTTGTCTTCGAGATCCTCGTCCATTATTGCATCAACTTGGTTTCCGGAGGGGTCCCGCTCGCCCCGAGATCGCGAGGCCGTCGCGTCGCGAGCACTCGCGCCAATGTCTTGGAATGCAAACAACTCTTTACTCTTCTCGCTGACCTTCCACACATCGCCACCTTTAGTCCTTTGTTCGACCGCCGGCGAGAAATCACTACTGTCCAAGGAATCGGAGCTAAGCAGCGCCTCAAGTTGGCTTCTCCGTCGCTTTGGCTTCGTCGGGGATGACAGTACTGAGTCGTCGCTCTCGCTGGTGAATGACCGATCGCGCGACTTGACCCGAGACTCGACCAGGAGGCTCTTGGTCAAGCGTAACCTGATCCCGCCGCCAGACGATGCTCCCTTTGAACCGTCGTCCTCGTCACTGCTCCCGTACCTGGACACGATAGAGGAGTGATACTGTCCTTCGGTGCTGGATGATGTGTCCCCGTCGTTGCTGACCTGTCGCTGTCTCTGCAGGACCGCTCCTCCCTGTGCGCCGGAGGATCTCCTGGCCGAGTGGTCCATCTCGGCACCTTTTCGTATTCTGTCGTGATTGGTCTTGTGGCGGGGCTCGGCTTTAGGTGGGGCCACCTTGGCAGGCTGAGCAAAGGAGTGCTCAGGGGGTGCCTCGACAGGGGCAGCCTGAAAAATTAACAAATGACAGTTGTTGTTATAAGCTACTGAAATCCTTGCTTTTGATTGGTTATCAGCAGATTTGCCACTGATCTTTGTCATATGTCATTGATAAAAAGGCTTTGCAAAACGGGTCCCAGGAATGTCATCAACATGAAACATCACATCAAGTCATATATAGCATGCACATTATCAATTTGTTTCCTATTAGTTATTATTTCAAATTTAAATTAATTTATTTTGTCAATTGCACCGACATATAAATTACCCATGTTCTGATTATCATCCCCACTTCTAACTAAAGATGATTGATACAAGCATCAGATTTAAGCGGGTCTACACTACTCGTAGCTACTCGCGGCCTCTATATAGTAAAAAATGCCTGAGAGGTACCCATTGGTCCCCCATGATCCCCTTTTTCTCATGTTAATTGAGAGCTGATTTGATGAGATAACCACCTGTCAGCGACCTGGCAGGGAGGACTAATCCTTCCTGGCCAAACTAGTGCAGATTGGTTTTCATGAAATCTTAATAGATGCGTTCGGTCATGTCGAAACTAATAGACCGTGGGCCGAGCGCGATTTTCCTTCCAGTTCGTTGCATAGATTCCGGTACAAGATTAAGATAATGTTAATAAAAAGATAAAAATACACAAATCCTAAATCAGCTTATTCCTGGGAATGAGTCCTTGTCGTTCGTATAAAACATTTTAAATAAAACGTTTAATTGACAAGTTATTTAAGAGAAATGTGCGTGAACGAGACCGCCAACTCTCTGTTCGTACACGTGTATTAACTCACCGTGCGACGAGAGTGAAACAGCACATTCTCCGTCTCCGTCGTACGAAGAAATTATGTAATCCATTCGAATGAAATGATATACATTATACATTATCATTCTGTACACTTCACATATAATACCTCAGCATGTATCTGTTATCAATTTTTAAGCCAGTGAATGCAGTGTAATTTTGAATAAACATTGTCATATTTCTTCCTCCAGGAAAGAAAAGTCACCCACATCCCGTATACCTTATTAAGCGTGCCCCCCCCCCCCCCCAAAAAAAAAAAAAAAAAAAAAAATCTAAAACTTCTAAAAAATTCAAACATTTGAAAACATGTAAAAACTACTACAGGACTGGAAATAAAAAAGACATATATCTTTTTTTTATAATTACAATGAATATTTAGGAACTCTAATTCTGTAGGCCTATTCTTAAACTACCATTGCATCGCTAATACAAGAAATTTTTTCATCAAAAGTTTTAATTACACAAAACTTACTCGAGTCTTGTCAGTACGGAGCCACTGATCTCTACACAGATCAGTGTACATTCAAGAGAATTGCATACGATCCTTACAATAATATCAAATTGGCAACGCGCTATTTCTCGTCTGTTTCATGGTAGCTATGACCCCTCATTTTCGAAATATTTTCACCCTGACGAGGTTTTCATTAGTTTTCGCAGTTCATATTTGCAAAATCATATTATTCACATCAGCAAATGTGATTGGCTTTGTGAAATATTCGAATGGATTACATAATTTCTTCGTACGACGGAGACGGAGAATGTGCTGTTTCACTCTCGTCGCACGGTGAGTTTATACACGTGTACGAACGGAGAGTTGGCGGTCTCGTTCACGCACATTTCTCTTAAATAGCTTGTCAATGAAACTTATGTTTTATACGAACGACAAGGATTCATTCGCAGGAATAAGCTGATTTGGGACTTGTGTATTTTTATCCTAATTTCTGGTTACCAAAAACTATGTACCACAAAGCCAGTCCAAAAAAAGAAAACTAAGCCCTAAAATCGCGCTCGGCCCACGGTCTATAAAGTAGCTTGGTCCTGCCAAGGCCTTCTAAAGCTGGTCCTTACCTGAGCATCAGTGGTCCCTTGGTCCTGACTGGATTCCGTCTTTGGTATTAATGATTCAACTAGTACACAGAGACAGACAAGGAGAAAAGGAAAACATTATAACAATATGAACATTTCAATTATGTGGACTTGTAACCAAAGTGACCGCGCCAAAATTCCCCAGATGAAGCCTCTTGGGACATTATTTGGAGCCACTGCTGAGAATGACATCATTCTGGTGTACTGGGGTGTGCGCCTTTTGATAGTTCACTATTGAAGGAATTTTTTAAATCTAAAAAGTCATAATTTCTTATATTTTCCCCCCTCTAATTTAACATCTGGTTTAAGACTTTTTAAGGGCAAAAATTGCCTACCGTAGTACAAGTCCAAGTCTTGAATAAAACTTAGGTTTACAATGTCAGCAACGAGCTATCAAAAAATGCACAATC